GAACAATAACTGGAAGTTGACGAATCAGTTCCGTCTCCACTTATTGATGATGGCATGTCTGTTTCATTTTTTATTTTTATCCCAAAATTTTGAATATTTTTCCCAAACAAATAAACAACATAACCTAACACTCCTAAAGTCCTAACAGAAGCATTCAGAATTCCGATTCCGCATTCCATTCTTCTTTTTTTATAGTCTCATTGACTTCTTTGTCAATAATGTCAAGCTTTGATATGTCAAACGTCATTACAGATTCGTGAAGTATACGTTTTGTAAAAAAAAAAGTTGTCAAATGTCATGTATCACAGAAAACATAAATTGGCGAAAATGTCTAGCAATAATGCTCATTGCTCTTCATGCCCAAATTATGGTACAAATGGCGTACCATAATGGTACATGGTACACAAGGCCAAATTATGGTACGAATACCATAATTATGGTACGGTTGGCAACGCTGATTCAGGAACTCTACCAAAGCCTATTCGGCAAAATCACAAAATCGCTCGCATATAAATGATTTTTTTATTATTAATGTGTATAAGTATATTCAGCTAATGATAAAGTAGAAGTCACCCTCGAATGATTTTCTAGTTTGTTTTATTTTGAAGTTTTTTGAAAATATTATCGTGATTGGGAAAACATATTATGGATACACCGAAATTTTATTGGAACTTCAATCGGAAGTTACACTCCGTATAGTGACTCGAAACGTCTGAAAAGAGTGAAAAAATTGGTGTAGTCCTTGAGTAATCGAAATTATTATTAAATGATCCATGGACTTGAATCAGTTTGTCCACTGTGTATGACAGTGTTGCGCAAACCTAATATCGTTGGACAATTGCTATAGCAGACATCAATTGGATATAATAAAATTGTCACATATTTATTTAATAAACGTTAGCTACTGCCCGAAATGGAATAATGACACCGCAATTGGTCATGTTTCCTGCATTCACATCTACAACATACTTAATGCTAAGTTTATTCAACTTTAATTATTGTCCTTCAATAATTTATTCTACATTCATCGTGGTGCAAACTTGAAATGTTTCAGTCTCAGTTTTAGTAGAGAAAGGAGTACACCCCAAATCAACATACAGTGCTTATCTTGAAATCTGGGAAAAAAATAAATGGAAACGGTGATCTTGTGACACATCTTTTTGAAGCTCCTGACCGAGCTCCTGACGAACACTTCACAACCCTAGAATATTCGCGATAGAAAATATCACGTCGCCCCTACCCAAAGGCAACAACTTGAACACTTCTGAGCGGTTTGTTTTGACGATATGACAAAAAACAAATATGAACCAATGGAAACAAAGTAAACATGCCGCTTTGACAGCTTTCAAGAACTCTGTTAGGTGGCGTACGCTTATTTTCTATCGCGAATGAATTCATATCTTCCCCTACTACAAAATGGCAGAACATTTAATAGTTGCCTGAATACAAACACATCAATATGAATGTTGTATTTCAACAAGATGGAGCACCAACAATTTACTCTAGACAAGTTTAAAACATTTGAATAATACTTTTTCCGGTTGTTGGATTGGCTGTCGAGGTCCTATACGGAATGGCCTGCCCGCTCGCCAGATTTGACTTCTTTAGACGTAACTGTGTTCGAAAGTGATGGGCGTAAAATATCAGATAGGCTATTCTTATGACAAGATGTTCAAGGCAACCATTTCAAGCATCTTCTCAACTGAACTCAGCTTATTCAGGCAATCATTGAATGTTCGGCCCGAGGTTCGGCCATTTTGTAGTAGGTGAAGATATTGACTTCATATTCTAGGGTTGTAAATTACTCGTCAGGAGCATCAGAATGATGTACAGTCGTCTTCAGAAATCATGTCGCGGTTGGACGGTGTCAGCGCTCTTATTGCAGGAGTTATTAAGAATGCTATCATCGTCCATGTGCGACATGTTTTCTGAAGATGACTGTACATATCACAAAATATAGAAAGAAATATTTTTATCACTCGAAATTAGATGCAAGTTTGCAGAGTACATTATGAAGACAATGAAAACCGCTTCTGAAAGCTGAAAATCTAATTGAAATCGGTTAGTTTTTTTGAAAGTTATTTTCTTACAAATCTGAGCGAAGATTTCAGGTATCCCACTTCAATTGCGGGACACGATAGAGTTCTGAAACGAACTCTGAAATTATTTTTGTTTTATTTCCTCTTTGCATATCTTCAGTCCAAATGAATAATTACCTACAAACGATCTACTTTCTTTTCCATTGAATAAATATTATGACTCATTGACTCCATTTTAACAGTTATTTACACCTACCACGAGTGAATTTGCAAAATTCCGGCTATCCCACACAAAAAATCTAGTGACACAAATTTAGCTCAGATTCTCTTCTGGTATACAGTTAGTTTCCGAAATTGGTTCAATAAATGAAATAAATATGGGCATAGGTGGTCATGTAAACGAATATCCAATAATCCAATTATATTTGGAAGTTTTTCCTCTATCACTGATTGGAAAACAAACAGTTGGGAATCTGTTCTCGTTCTTTTACTGTTGGTTTTATATGCACATACATATACAGTGTGCCCTTTTCCGAAGGTGCCCTAGTAAAAGACTTTCACCCCTGTGAAATATTTGTCTTTTTTATCGATTCTGATTATATATTTGTTGGGTAGGTATTTGAAAAGCACATCATCATACAACTAGGACCACTTTGATGAAAACTATTGGAGAAACATTTTATGGCGATTCTAACAGCAGGAAATGTTTCAAATAAAAGGAAGGAATTATGAAATCGAATGATAACGAGTTTTTTTAAATTACAAAATATCGAATCTCTGTTGAAGGAATTATAATGTATTGAACCAAACCGTGTGTAAACACATAGAAATCATAATTTTACAAGTCATGAATAAGTTGTTTTTATTATTTCTGGTCAGTGGTCACGGATCTTTGATAATTCAGCGAGTGATGTATATTTCCTTGATGCTTGATGGGTATATAAAATAATGTGGCCAGTGGGGACGATTAGTGTCAAATGTCAGTTACACATATATTTTTATGTAAACATAACCTTCTATATGCACACTTATCTCGTTCTTCAAATAATAATTAGAGCAAGAATTGTGACATATGAAATTGCCTAGTTTTTAAATTTCTCTTTGGATAACTAGTTTAAAGAAACCTGAGCATCATATTTGGTGTAATTTAATCATATACAATATGTCCATTAGATATATTTCTATGGAAAAATGTCATTATTCCAAATAAACAACTAAAATTGCCAATATCAGAAAATGAAGATTGATGTGAGCATATATATACAGGATGAGTCTCATTTGCATTTTAAATGATCATGAATCATAATCATTTTGAGAGATTATTTGTTTTATCACTAAATTTTCTATATATCTATAGAGAATAGTTATTTGTTTTACTAGGCAGCGAAGTAGTATATAAGGCAGTAAATCTACATTTGCTGCCGTGTGAAAAATTTTTTCCCCAGATGTTATAGAAGCAATGTTGTGTAATATTCTTATTGAAAACTTCATCAAGTTATGTTCTTCCACTGTCAGTATCATGATTACCAATTTCATTCAAATTACTTGGAACGTGCATAGCATCAAACTTTTCCTGGCTAGACAGAGAAAGTACCGAGGAAAGTACACATTTACTGTCTGTTGAGTTTCATAGGAAAGCAACTTTCCATGCCGCTTCCAGAAAAAATGTATTTTCGGAGATATTGATTTGTATTACAATTTTTCATCACTATAGTGAGGGGGTACGTGAAGAAAATGTTCATGTGATGGGTTATTTTCGAATATAAAAAATAAAATTATAATTTGTTATTGTTGAAATTATGGTCTTGAGAAAACAAAATTCGAATGAAAAATTAACAAGTTGAACGGTGTTCATAAACAGAAATTGAAAATTAATTTGTAGGATTTAAGGCATATAATTTTTATTATTCCAGATTTTTTGGAATTTTCTCTCCTCGTTTCTATAAAATAAAAATATAAATATTATTTCAATATCTGATTTGTCCCTACACGTATATTGAAATGATATCTGATATTATATGTCCTTACTACACGTATATTGAATTGATATTCATGATTTTTTCTGTGACGGGAAAAAAGTTTGGCATTTCATCTCTGTTGGCAGGTTATAAAATGTCAGTTTTCATAAATTACTTTTTTCCCGGATATATATCACATATATATATACACTGTTGATGGCTTTTGTTGTACTATAGTTCCGAAAAATGAGTCAATAATACCGTCTCCGAGAAAGAACCTGCAAGTCCTTTTATCTTCCATTCGACTTCGCGGTTACGTATATTGCTAAATAACCATTGAATTCGCAATTTCTTGAAATGAAATCACAAAATTAGACTGACAGAAGTGACATCAGATATTTGATTACTTCAAAAGAATGATAAAGATGCCTACAACGCAGGTGTCCCTACTGTTAAAAACTTAAAATTTCACGTCGATAATTTTCAGATTTCAAAATATTGTAATGTCTTCTCGAGTGTCTTCTCAATATTGATTCGTCCTTTCTTCTGTCACAGAAAAAATAGTGTATTATGGACGGGAAAAATATTAGATTTTAGCTCACGGTTTTTTGTCTCCCTCCGCTACGCGTCGGGGGACAACACAACGGGGGGCTAAAATCTACTACTTTTTTCCCTTGTATAATAAATAACTATTATTTTATAGAAACGAGGAGAGAAAATCCCAAAAAATCTGGAATAATGAATGTACCACCTCCTCGATTAACCTACAGACAGTATATAATTTTTAATTCTCAGTTATTGACATGAAAATCTTTCTAGGCCTTAATTCGTTATTGTAATGACAGATTGATCATTCGAATACTGTTCTCGAAGATTCTCAATTTTGATCGCTAGGTAATTGTTAATTTATTTGAGTTCATGAATTCACCATTGGCCCGCCATAATTTTCTTAGTTTCTGGCTCAGTTTCCAGTACATCTACACCTAAAAAAATTAACACCAACCTTTCTGATTCAATATACGCAATCCAAATTTAATCCTTGAGGCACTATACTTGATCCTGAAATTTCACAAAAAAATGTCACCGCTGAAAAATGTTTATATGTGAAATAGACATAGCGAACCGGAAAATGAGTGAAGTTGGAACTTTCCCGGTACGAAATTATCCGAAAAAATAAATTTCCCGATTTTTTTTTTCACACAATATTTTCCCGCACTTTTCCCGTAACTGTTTTCTTCGCGTTCTTTCACGAGTGACGGTCTACAGAAGACTAATCTAGTATTACTGTATTACTTCGCTTCTTTGGTCCGATATTCGAATGTCCCACTTGCGGAGCAGACTTCGAGCGTTCAGTAGTGAGCACACTGAGCAAAGCAGTCACAGCACTCTTGATTTCGGCGGAGAAGATGAGGATAAGAAGACAGCAGGTGCTAGAGAGGATCAGATGCCACCGGATTGGTCACAGACGGATGCTAGGTGTTTCCGCAGATTATTTAGCGATTCTACAATTCTTCGAGTTCAAGCGATCGAGAGCAAAGTGTTTTGTTATTTACTATGCGTTGATTCAAGATTTCGTTGCCCTAGAACAATGAGGCACTGGACCAAATATGGTTGCTCAGAATCGTGCTGCGAACTTTTGACTATCTTTTTCGTTCCATTTCAACCGATCAGATTTTTTGTTCTGAATAAGTATATTTAAATTGGTTGAAGTTTTTAACAGTTGATTTCTCTCCTTCCTTTATTCTCAAATGGTAATTCGAACACCTAAAATTTAGATAGAACTTTGTTCCAGGAGGATTTTCTATTGTAGTAATCAACAAGTTTTCAACTGACAAATATACAATGAAATGCATCTTTGTTTCATAAAATAATACGATAAATAGATATTCACGTAATCAGTTAGGAAACGCGTTGTTTTGTGTAACGATGGGATTTTGCGGGACGAGCGAAGCGAGATCCCGCAACATCACAGAGTTATATGGTACAAAATGGAAAACTATTATTTTCATTTTGACAAACATACTTTATGGTAATATTCAACATAAGATATACCGAGAATTTGAATATACATTTGAAATAAGCATATTTTATGCTAATTCTAATAATAAAAAATCATATGATGAATAAAAAGTAAGTTAGGAGGGAGACAAACATTTTCTAGATTGGCATATTTTATCCCAGAGGGCGGTAGAATTTCTGTACCATAAAATATGTTCTACATATTTCTCTCCGTGAATAAATTATTTTAGAAGAAGAAGGTGTTTTCTCAGTTCAAGTATTCAGAATTGAAAAATTTATCATCTTCAATGGAGAAATTGTTTTTATGTGTGAGGAATTAGCAGAATTTAATTTATTCGTCATAATAAAATTGCTGATTTGAGTTGAACATGAGATCAAACTGATGGTTTATGCCCTAACGGTAGTGTAAATGCGAGGACTAATGGACAAACATAAAGTATGTGTCTCATACATGTATGGATATTATAACCAGAATAATTATTGATGCAAATCGGATGCAAAGAAAGCTTACATAAGAATTCGGTGCATAACATGCCCCAGTTATACACAAACGTCAAGAATTGCGTAACAATTTGCACCGATATCATGCGAAACTCGATTCGATAATGGATCTTCTAATTTCTATCACTTTCTCTCAGAAGTAATCGATTAATGATAATTCTCGGACTGTACAAGAGCTATTAAAACAAATATTCTAGTCATAATATAATGTTGGGAATATTCATAGATTATTGCATGATAGAGAATCGAAATAATGAATACAACATTATACGCCGAAATATATCTGTATAGAGGAGTTAAATAATAATCAGAGTTCGAAGATAGCAATTTCTGTAAATTTCCAACGAAAATTCAACTCTATCTAAGCTCACTATGCTCCACACCACTATAATAGTGCTGGACCTATGAAGCAGTTTGCGGGGTCCATCGGGGTCACAAGTTCGAAAAAACGAGAATTCTGTATTAGACCAGGAGCTGGTGACAGGTTCTTCAATGGGGGAGTTTCCTTCAGATGCATTGTCATAAAATAAGTTCGGAACTGCACAGAACGAAAATAGTTATTTTTGTATCTAGAGCGCAAAATGCTCCTTTGGTGATCGAGATCTGATTGGCGAGATGACCAAAGTATTTCGCACTCGCGTTGCAAACAAATTTTTTTTACAAACGTCAAAAAATATAGTTCTAAAGTGAAAGTATGTTTAGCTTGATATAAAAAATAGTGTTGAACTGGCTTAAAAGGCCTCCCCCTATTCTCCCTAGGTACGCACGATGTTCCACGAACATAATAGGAATTTCCTTTCGTGCGCTCCAAGAGATAAAACAAAGTTATTGTTGAACATTCAGAAATAGATGATTTCGTGGATGTTTGCTCGATTGAGGACCGTAAAGTTGAAATATAAATATCTCATATATTTTACATAACAATGCGCGAAGTAGGTACTTCGCGCACTGCTTCACTTCGCGCATTGTTAGGTGCAAGGTATCATGGTAACGTAGGAAACTGAAAAAAGTGTCACTTCGCAATTTGTTTTCAATGCGCGAACCTTGTCATTTTTTGACGTTTGTAGAAAAAGGTACGTTATATTAATAAAAAAGTACATCAAATCAGTGAACGTCAACATTAATTTTGGGCCGATGACGGGTGTCATTAATACAATGAACGGTCGTACGTAAATTTTCTTGTTGATTAAGTTATGACTGCAGTACGTTGAATCAACGAATAATGGTCATGGATCTATGTTTGCCGGTTATTGATATTACGAATGGATTTTCATTGGTTCATGGTTGTTGTACATTGAATCAATGAACAGCGAGCATGGATCTATGATGATAAACATTGGTTTATGGTTGATGTACATTGTATCAATTAACAGTGAACATGAATATGTATGTGCCAGTTACAAAGGACAGACTCAGTTTATTACAGCTGAACATTGAATCAATAATCAGCTAGCATGGATCTATGATCGGCGGTTATTGATATTACGAACGATAGACATCACTTGATGATTTTCTTCATTGAATCAATGAAAAATGAGCATGAATCTGTGTTCGCCAGTTATCGATGTAGCGAACAAATTCTATTGGTATTTAACGGTGGTATAGTCGTCGTCGAAGATAATGTTGTCAACAGTATCGTCACTATCAGAAATAAGGGGACAATTTTTTCACGCATCAGAGTAATTAATTTCTAAAATTTTGAAAATTTCCAAAATCGGCCCAAAATTATCTAGTACATCCACTGATTTGATGTGACCTGACGAATAATATAATATACATTCACAAGGCAGTCACAGAACACTGGTTTTCTTAAAGAAATATCATTATTCTTTATTTTTTGTTGAAATCTACCTAATTGTATTGAATAACAAATGTAATGAATATTTTTTAATGAAGTCAACTAAAAATGTTTCCAAAATGTCAAAAATACACTGATAAACTTGGACGATATTCAAAAAACAAATATTCGCTCACCTTATACATTTTTTGTCGGAATAAACAAATATTGCCCTTTCCATTCATTATAATACAAGGTAACTCACGGTCGATGGTACGTTAGACGTTTATGGAGAACGGGACATAGGATCATTCTGAAATTTTAGTTACTCACGTAGTTGCTCTTGTTCTATCGATCTAAAATATTTTCAGTTCTGCGGCGTTGCCGCTTCTATCGAAAAGTAGCAACAACTTTGTTATTTTAAATGGAACACCCTGTATTTTATTGCATTTTCAGATTCTCTCTGAAGAGCTGATTTCATCTATGTATCACACTTGGGGTCTAGCGGAAATGATTACAGAGATATAGGGTGTGAAAAATCGACATTTTTCAACTTTATTATAGGAATTTTTTTGTCGAATCTATTCATTATTGGTCAAAACGGCTCACATGTCCCTATCTCAACTTTTGATCAACTATCTACTGACATTCAATTGAAACAAATACATGGTCGTGCAGAATTCAGAATCTTGATCACCCGGTATAAAAAAGTCGTTTTCATTTTCAAATTAAAGCAATTTCTAATTTTCGGCGCGGCAAACATTCTGAATCTAGAATTTCTACTATAGGTAGATCAATTAATCTAGATACATCCACTTATGATGACTTTTTCTCTTTCATTAATACATGTATGTAGATTTATATCGACTATGTTTGCAAACCATATGTATTTGAATAATAGTGAAGCAAACTTTATTGAACAAATATCTGCTGAAAAGCTCCCTCGATTCACAAGAGTTTTTTTTATCGCTTGGAGCACACGAAAGGGAATCCCTATAATAATAAATAATAATACACAGAAGCAAATGAACCATTTCAACATAATGTACTTTCAAATAGTTCCACAACCGGCCACTTTGGCTCTGCGAACTGAAATTCAGTCGCCTATACCGTTGTAATATACGGAAGTTCAAACAAATTGAAGCGCTAATTATTGATGAAATGCAATCCGCAGCGGCCGAAAGGGCTCAAAGGAGCGAAAAACTGAAGAAAACTAGAGGAAACTCAGAATTGAAGTTTTAGTAACAAAAACACTTTGGAAAAATTGGAATATGTGTGGCCCTCGTCTGACCAACGGTGGAGAATTTCGAAAAAACTCTGTAAAAATTTGATACAGGTTTTCCATGATTCCAAACTGCATGCGCCTTTAAAAAAATACTTCATTTCTATAAATAATTGATAGAGATGCATACCAAATTACACCTATACTATCAATTAATTATACAAATGAAATATCTTTCTAATGCGACAAGCAATTTGGAATCACGGAGCACCTATATTGAACTTTTACAGTCTTACCGAAATTTTTCATTGTTGGTCATATTATGAGGGGCGCATGTCAATTTTTCCAGAGTGTTTTTGTTACTAAAACTTAAATTCTTCACATCGGCATGCAATTTTAAAATACGAAAGTTCCCTTTCATTTTCTTCAGTTTTTCGTAAAGCTTTGAGCCCTACTTTCCTATAATTACAACGGCCGGCAGTATATAATATTGCCGAAATACACAAAAATTCTTCACAAAAAAGCGCTTTTCCTTATGAAGTGCACACGTGGGACGGCCAGCAACCCGTCTATTTGTCATATCTTGGGGTTAAGAAGGCATGCAGTGTAAAATGGGAGAATGTCACCTGTAACCAGCTCCTGGTCTATATGTCCTTACAAGAAATTGGCGCACCCAATGGTGCTCATTACTTGAACTTGACCAACGAAGGAGAGCTTCATCTCATCTTCTCAAATAAAATTTCTTACTTATGACACAAAATTTTGTATCAATGACTTGAAACTACTGATGAAAGTGTAACCATATAGTACTCTGAATGAGTCTGAACTCTATTTTTTGAATAATCTGATGTTTAGTGATAGATAGCCGTTCACGATGCGAAGGTACTGTTGGTTCGAATC